TTCACTGAAGGGTTCTAATCCCTTGTCCTTTTCTCCCTGCGGTACCCTCCTTATCATAGACTGAGACTCCTGCCTGCCTGATCGCAGCAGTGGTGGATTGACAGGGTCACCAGGTTAAAGCCCAAGGCTCGAGTTGGTGCTTAACATACAGTGTCGATTTATATAGTCATTCTTTCTCTTTTCTTTCCTCTTAATTAGTGTTTAAATATTCCAAGTGAAGTGGAATAGGTCGAACAGGAGCCACTAATGACCTGAATCCAGAATACTCTATAGCCTATTTATTGGAGTGTTCATCTGGGGAGTGGAACAGACAAGTCAAAATCTACCAGCTCTCTCATGTAGAGCAGACTACACTGAGGCTTCTCACACCCCAAGTGAATTGCCCTAGCAACAATATTATTATTTAAAAGGGAAAAACCTATTTTTTTTAGTAGCATGAATAGCTCTTTTCTTTTAATATACCCCACCTTAAAAAGTCATTGCAAATTAAATAATTTACTTTTTTTTGTGTGTGCTATTGGCAGAACGAGGGCTGTTATACACAAAAAAACTATGAAATAACATAAATACAGATTTTTTTTTTTACATTTGAATGAGTCTAAATGGAGTAAGGGTATTTTTTATTTTGGTTTTGTTTTTCTGTTTTGTTTTTCTGCTGGGGTGGCAGAAGGTATAGTTGTTGAACTGTAAAATCGAGTGCCCATTCTTAACCGTGGACTCCTACGCTTATTACGCCTTAAGGACAGCTCAGCTCACACATACAAAGGGTATTTTATCTAAGTTGCCAGGACTACAAGCTCACTCTGGACTCCGAAAGTCGCAAGGTGTTCTCCTCAAAGTTGTCACAAATTGTCAAGGTTTATTTATACTTACAAGACCTTATGGGTCTTCAAATTGTATCCTAAGTGACAACTCTGAAACCAGAGTAACAGTAAGAATCTCATTTATCTCAGAATAATTTTGGCTGTTTGGAATTTAGCAAATCAATCTGTTGATGTAAAGGTGACATTTGTGACCTGATGGGGTAGTTCTGTGTGCATGAGAAATTGTAATGTGAAGTCAGAAGTATATATCCCTGGAGTAATCCTTTTATAGAAATGTATATATAAGTTTTTTAAGTTTCCATCCTCATTGAAAATCAATAGCAATCACAACCCAAAGTGCCAGGAGGCTCTAGCAGACATGTGGTGGTGGATGAAAACTGGATGGATGAAATGGTAACAGCCTTCAGCTGCACCCTCCACTCCTGTGATGGATGTTGCCTCCCCCAAAGCAGGGACAAGTGATCTGCTCATGAATCTCCTGATCCACTGCAGTGTTCATCTAAAGTAAACTGACCTGGATTCTGGTTGGCTGTAATACAGACAGTGAAATTTGGTTTGTGAGAGAAAATGTGCATTATATAGGTGGGAAGGATGTCTGGAGAAGTTCAGGAATCTGATTTTAACCTGTTGCTGAATGACCCCTGTCAATTGTAAAAGTAGAACTCAATAAGCTCCATCAGCTGATTTCAAAGCAAAAGAAAATGCCTGTCTTTCATTTCCCCACTGGGCACCTGAAGCCCCACTGATCTCTTGGACAGGAGCTCTGCTTAACTTTGGCACTTTTCTGAGAAAAAGGAGAATTGCTGCTGGCTGATCTGATGGAAACATTCCCATGTGTAGGTCCTCTTTTTCTCTACTGGTCTAACTGTGTAAATAGCATCGCTGCAGGTTTGGGGAGGAGATTAGCACTGGTAGGAGATGGACAAAAATGCACACAACACTCAGTTACTGCAGAGCAAGGAACAGGCAGAGAAAAGCATCAGGATAGCACCATAGGTACTCCACCAACAGAATGGTTTAAGGGGGAAGGCAATCATCTTGGTGTTATTGCATCTTCTTTTTGGACTCACGAAATTATGATGGTATCAATATACAATTGACCCCATATGAGATTATGTGGTAGCAAACAATCTCTTCCTCAGGAGTCCTCAGATAAAATCCTCCAGCCAATTTTGTTTATATTAGTATCTGGGGACAAAAAAAATGTAATTTCTATTTTCAGTGGTTTAGGACATCCTGTCTGAGTTCTTCCAGGTGGTTCAGAAGTTACTGTCCTGTAGATGATGCCTGCCAGGCCTGTGAAGATGTCTCTGATATCATAAAGCATCTATAACAACACTAGAGACCTTTTTTAGGCACCTGAATCATACTGCAAGCACCTCCACCGGCAACCTCTGTCAATATACCAGCATTTCTTAGCTTGACTACAGTCAAATTTGAGTCAATAGCTGCTCACTCCCACTTCAAGGAATGTAACAGTGGTGATTTTATTGTATAACATCCTGAGTTTTTAAGGGGTAATGCAACTTGGCTATATCAGCAGCCTAAACCATGCAATCGATAACCTTCTAGCATACATGAGCTTTGTCTCTGCAGCATTGCCTAAATTGATAAATTGTGGGAAATTATTTTCTTCACCAAAGAAGGCACATAACAGTCTGAATTTGAAAAGTTAGATATATTAAATAGGAAGGAACTTTATTTACATAGCAACAGATCTAGAGGAATGATCCTTTGAATGGTAATTATAAGTCTGTATCTATATACACACATAGAGTTTTAATTACTTGTATTATAACTGTGCAAATATCTGTCATTAGTATGTCCTTGGAGATATGCTGTGGTATTAATCAGATTTGTCAAGATGAGACAGTACCTTTCTATTCTCTCTTACACATCATAAACTCTGACTGATATCCCCAAGGGAAAAAAATGTGTAATGTGTCATTTACGACCTGTTGCGTGCACACATCACTTGCATTTTGTATGCAGTAGGATAACAAAATGCTATTGATTTTGAATTTTACTTTAGGAAGCTGATCTTTATTGCTAGTTGTCACTTGGCAGATTTTTCCTCCTGCTGTGAAATGTTTGATCTAAAATTTATGTTTGGAGAAATGGAAGCAGTGATGGTTTTATAATATATAAAAAAAAAAGTGTATAAATTCTATTGTAGTAGATAGACATTATTCCTAAGCAGAATAAACATTCTGTAAATAAGACTTTCAAATAAGTTACAAAAAACATGTAATATGCCAATCTTGTTCTGCTTATACAACCATATACACAACTTTGTGTAGTAGAGCAGCTTTCTGGGTCTTGAAGCAAGGCACTGATCAGTGCCAGGAGGCATGTGCAGAAGCAAGCTTAAAAGGTAGAGCTAAGGGAAGTACACATAAATGCAATGCATTGCATAATAAAAAAAAGAAATGCAGAATAGTTTGGGGAATGAATTTGAACACTCTACAGATACGACAGATTAAGAGTTAGGGAACCTCTGATGCCAAAATTGTCCTTCCCAGTTCTACAGATATATGTGAGATACATAAAGGTAATTTCAGTGACTTTAAAGTCTTGTTCTTTAAAGTATTGTTCTCACTTTCTACAGAAAAAAAAAGAAACTCAATATTCATTAGCATAAGGATTGGAAGACTTGTTATGCCATTGTGGTTTTTTTAGGGATAAATATATGTATCTATGGGTAATATCAAGGATCTAATCCTTTCTTGATTTATTTCTTTAAGAATATCAGTATAGTGGCTCTCAAATGGAGGCTACATATATGTTGTGATGGCAAATATCTCGAAGTCTTCAACAACCTTGTACCTTAGCTCTAGCGATAGCTTCCAAATGCATGTTAGCCATTTTCTATGTGAACAGTGAAACTACATCTGTTTATCTTTCTATAGAGCAGCTCTGTCATTTTCTTACCTCCGTCATGCTAGAAATTGCCAGCTTTATGGATTGTAATAGCTGTGACGGAAGATAGGTGTTCTCAGGGTGAGAAGCAAAGGTATGAGGAAACCAGGCACCACCTCATTCCTTGAAATTTCAGACCTCTGTGTAGGCAAGGGTCCCTGAAATCACTGTCATTAATTTAGGAGAGCTGGTATCATTAGCCAGACCAGGAACATATGTTTGAATATTTTAACAGTAGCATACAAGCAGATAATGTAAACTAAGCTAAATGGAGATACCGTGCTCTTCTACTCTTTCTGACTGTGAAGTTATGAATATTTTTACTATTATTATTGTCTATACTGGAAAACAAATACCAATCAAGATTTTTTAGGTCACCACTTTCTTTTGTGAAGAAGAGTAATTCGAGACTTTTCAAATGTGGTCAGGTTTCAGTTACCATAGTTTTGGTTTGTGTCCAGAATTAACATTTCTTAATACCCCAGGAAGAAGTAGATTAAGCCACTGCTGTTAACTGTCCATTAAACAGTTAATGTGTGTCAGCTGTTTATTTAGCTAATGTATATACTCACCTTCCTACCAGCTTTCTAGTACCAAACCTATGCTTTCTGGAATTAAGCCTGCTTTGGCACTGTAGCTCTTGTTCATTGGAAGATTATTTCATTAAGTGAAAAGTGTCACAAAGATATCTAAAAATCAGCTACAGGCCTCTTTGCAACCTGTAAGGATACTGGACATGTAAACCATTTGTGTTTTTGTGAGATGAAATAGAGTATATACATTCCTATTGCCATTGATATGTGCCCTTGACAGCAGAATTCCAGCCAAACCTCGAGTGGCATAGACGCATTAGCACCATTACAGTCAATGCAAGTACACTTAATCACATCACCTGAGAATCTGGCCTACAGCCCGTAACAAGACAGTCCTTTTGAGAGTAACAGTATTTTATGCCTTCATCAATCATTCTCTTAGGTCTGTAGCTATTCATGGCAGACTAAAAAATGTCATATTATAATCAAAAAGACCGGTTGTGGCTATTTCACCATGTTTGTTCCTAAATTAACTTTACTAAAAGTGTCCCTAGTTCAGGAGAAATTCCCTCCAGAAATCACAAGAGCCTGTCTTTAATGATGCAATATTTACGTTTATTTTAAATATTCTGATTACAAAACGATTTCAAAACAACACTCATATTCTTGATTTTTAGGCTCCAAGTGTTACATTCTATTTCCTCTGCTTTGACTATTTGCCTAGGACGTCTGTCTACAACCACGACAATAATAGATGGTAAGAACGGATCCGTTCCCTTATCATCCACGAAAGTGGGCAAGAAATCAGTTATGGAAGACCTCATGACGACATTCAGCTCACCAGCAGCATGGCTTCTTGTTCTTGCTCTGATTGTTACCTGGTCAGCAGTAGCTATTGTAATGTTTGACTTGGTGGATTACAAAGCCTTTGCAGGTAAAATTCAGCATATTCTGTTTGACATCTTGTATATTAAAATTTAAAAATTTATTAAGGAGTGTGTATTATGTAAATATGCATGTCTCTCACCTTCTTGGAGACAGCACAGTGTCTCTGCTGAATTGATCAAGAGAGGATATATTGTGAGAAATGTCAGAACGTATTAGTTTACACTTCATACATCTTTGTAACTTAAATCTCTCCATTTTGCAGCCCATCCTCATCCTGGAAAATGTGTATGTTGACAGTAACATAATATGTATATGAGCATGTATGGTCAGATTTCTGTTTTGCAATTTCCATATAAAATTATTTCAAGAAAAAATAAAAATAATTATTAATTCACATTTTCTGAAATATATTTTTAAGTCTTTCACAGTAGCCATGAGTATTTTGACATCTGTTTACAGAGTTCAATGACAAGAAAAATACAAAACATCATTTCTAAACATGCTAACCCTAAATTTATCTTCAGAAACCATAGGTACAGAGGAACAGATTCTTAATATTACCTAAGTCACACCCTTGTCTTCAATAAGGCAATAATTCTAGCCTAGTTTAAGACTTGGCAAACCACTTGAACGAGACCAAGTTTTGGGGTACATATTGGTTACTGAGGGTAAAGATGAAAATGAAGTGGGTAGAACAAGGACTGTGATCGTGGTTGAGGAATGGGAAGAAAGGAGTGGGGAATAGAAATTACCCCACTGCTGCTTGATTTTTATGCCTTGTATCTGGCAATGATATATAACAAAAAATAAAACAAATCAACTATCTATGTTTGTAAAGGGTGCCTAATGTTCAGCAAGCCACTTTGGCAGCAAAACTTTTGTGAAGTAAACAACCTGTAACAACTGGGAAACATGTACATGAAACAGAAAACAAATGCTTAGGGTCCTTTTCTTTCCTAAATAGGAACTGCAGCTCTAAAGTTATCACATCTGTCACAATAATTAGCCAGGAATTGAAATTCAGACTTCAGCTTTTTAATTCAAAATAAATTAAGTTGATGTTTCAAAGTTAATTTCCTGGACTTCATTAGTTTACTGATAAATCCATAGATTTTTGTCCTGCTATATATCAATATTGACCTCAAGATTTACTTTAAAATCTTTTGAGACATACATAGATCTTGAAAGAAACCAACCAATCCTGGATTAATGGATGACAAAGAAGCCTGAAATGTGGAGAAAACTTACCATAACCCTGTCTTAATTTTTTTGCTGCTCATCTGTCTTTGTTTTCAGAAGGAAGTCACTTGAGTCCCAGCAAATCATGAAGTTACTTTTGGGTGCTCCTCCCAAAATAGGCATCAGATTTTAATTTGGACACCACATACTTAATGCTACAACATAGATATAAACCAAGATTGTTGTTCTTTGAACAATCTGCATTAATAAAAGTAAATAGTAATTTTCAGGACTTTAAGTTTAGTTTTGCAGGCATGATCAAAATTAATTTCCTAGTTTTCAAATGTAAATGAAAGATGCCAAACAAATCATATTCAACTGTATATTTTTCATCTATAAACCACAGAATATTCAGTGTATTTTTCCTTAAATAACACTTGCCTTTCATAAGTCATTGCATTCAATTTCTTTCCCATTTCTTTACCTGAAGTTCCATGAAGTTCAAGTTTACAAAGTATGCATAGCATATGAATGAGGCAAGCTGAGAGACCTGAACTCGGTTGGTCTAGAGAAGAGGAAACTGAAGGGTGACCTAGGAGCAGCCTGCACCTTTTTGAAGGGCAGTTACAGAGATGACAGCGGACTCTGACCTACGGGCTCCCACCGGAGACTTCCACTATATTTCTGAGCCAGAAATGACCATCTCGTTAGCAGAGCCGCTAGTAGTGACTGTACTGCACGGGACTGACTGCAGCAGAAAACAGGAGCAGGTTGACATAGTAAACCAGGTTGGGAACTGCATGGCTGAGGAATATGCATGGATTTGTTCCTCTTGGTTACAGTACAGAGCTGCTAGCCTGTGGCCAATAAAGTGTAATGCCCTAAATTATGAGTTACCTAGGTCACACAGAGATTCATGGAGCTCAGTAGAAACACAACACATCAGTAGAATAGGAATTATTTTAGACTCGAACTTAAGCACTGTTTTCTTATTTCAACAATTAAAATTTGTTTTCTCATTATCTTAAAGGCAAATAATTCCAAAAAGACATAAAGTATTAGTATACGCATTTTAGCTCTTATGTATTCTTTTAGTTCATCAGTATAAACTTCATGTTGCCTCTATGATTAGAGTGTCAACCTATAGATTTTGCTTCTTGATTACTATGATTTCATGTTCTTTTAGAAGCAAACTATCAAACTAGGGAATTTTGATGATTTATATAAGATGAAATTTGTCCCAGAAGTAACCATATGAAAATTAGGGGTTTGGTTTCATCTGAAAATAGATGTGGTAAATTACTTCTAGGGAGCCCTGTCTAATCAGTATTTTAAAAGGAGCCTTTAGGACTGAGGGAGGCTGAGAGGATAGCACTTAAGTTTTAGGTAGTTGAAGTTATATTACATGAATTCAAGCTCCACTTGTAGAAAGATTCAAGATATATTTTGTGTAATTGTACATATCCAGAACATGATTACTGCAAATTCTGTAGTACTCTGTAGTATTCAGGAGGTGCTGGTTATGATATAAAATGTTGCAGAAGGACCCTGTGGTAAGGGTTGCATGTATAAAGCTGTGCCTCCTTCGTGGTTTAGTGTCAGTTTGTTCAGGGTTTAGAACAGAGATGAGATCTGCGAGTCAGCCTTGGCAGTGGATTTTGAGGAAACCATGAGACAAGAATTAGATCAGTGCTGAAAGATTCGTCCCTGTTCTATCTACTCAGAAGAAGGAAATTAATTTTGCAGTGTTTCGCTTTAGTGTGTTATGTTTGAAGAAAGAAATGAAAGCTTGCATTCCTATCATGTTGTGTTGTACAACTATAAACATGACTGAAATATTTCTAACGTGGTATGAAGGTGACATGCGTTACAAAAGCCTGAGATAAGAAATGGCGAATCTCGTGCAGTACATAGCGTGTATGAATATGCAATAAGTAGCATACTGCATTGGAAGATCTCTTATACATTCTCAGTATTTTCAGAAATGCAGGAAAATATTCATTTCGGTTTGATGTGTGCTTTCCAACAGTTTGTTATCACTACCATCCTTTGTGTTAGAAAATACACCTTGTTAATTGGTTTCACAATTCATGAGTGTATTTCATGCATTTCTTGTACACATAACCGGATTATATATTTTAATTGGTAAATATAACTAAACAATTTAACATTATTTTAGTCCTAAAGATTGATTGCCCAGGAATCCACGTTTGCTAATGGGCTAATAAAGTGTTCAGAATTCCTTGCCATCTCTGTGACCAATTACAGCTAATTAACACCATCCTAATTTCAGATCCAGAGTGTTCAATATTCAGAGTAAATTGATGGTGATTTACCCAGTTACCTAAAGGCCAGACTAAATCAAACCTAATGAAACCTCACCAAATTTCTGAAACCCAATACTGTCTACAAAATAATCTAAGTGAAAATATAGAGCATACACACAGCACAATGACTGCCATTTTATCGTGACTGCTTTCATAAGAGAAAAAAGAGCAGGATCCTTGTTGTGGATAATTCATTTTGCTCAACCATAAAGAGGTTTTTTAGAGACCTGCAGCAAAGGCAGATCTCTGTGGAGGTAATGCCTGTCAATGACAGGAATGGGGAGCTAACAGGGCATGGAGGCACAAGAAGCAGCAGGGATTCCAGTCAGATGTTTTCTTTAATGCTTTTTTTTTTTTTTTTTCCTTTTTAAGTTAATGGCAAAACGTCTGGCCAAATTGTTGTGGGGTCTCCTGCATCAGCTTCTGACTAACACAGTCTGAAGTCAATGTTTTCCTGCCTTAGCTTGTGGTCACTTCTATTACTGTTTTGAGGCCAAGAAAGCTTTTGGCTGGCCCTGGGTAGTAAGGATGATATACCTGTTAATATTCTCCACTAGAGGAAAACAAGCAAGCAAAAAATTAGGAACCATCTATTGACATGAACATCTGTATTTTGGAGAAAAAAAGACATACAAAGGTAAAGAACAGGACTCCAAACAACTTACACTGTATAATTGACACATAGACATTTTTTCCCAGTCTCCTGCACGGTAAAACTGTAAGATCCAAAACCTGTTAGGTGCAGACTGTTTGGTTTATCGTTAAGAGAAGTGAAAGTCAGCAAAATATGGCTATTCTAGTGGGCATATTTTCTTTTTTGAAGGGGGAAGGATTAGGATAATAATTATTAGGAATATGTACATCCATTTTTCTCCTGGAATGTCATCACACTGTAGTCCTTTCGTTGGGCTTGTGTTCACCGGAAACTTTTAAGAACTGCAAAAAGAAGAGTGTCCTTATGTTTACTCTTGTATTTTATGACAGTATATCCACCAGTATTAAAACTGATAATACTGTTGCACTTATTCAGGAAAAAGAAAGAGCTGCTGGCTTTAAAGCACCAGCAAACTTAATGGAACAAATAATTTTGTCTCTTGGTGCAAGAGGTGTTTCACAGTCTCACCTAATTGAACTAATTGGTAAAAGCTTTTCCATACATGCAAAACCCTAGAAAAATCTCTCACAGGACAAAGGAGTGGGATGTAAAAAAAGGTGTTGGCTTTTGCTGTGCTCACCTTGGAACTTATCAAAACAGTGCTATAGTCTTTTGAAATACAATATTTACTGTATTTACAGATGTCAATTTAGAGCATGACTAAACAGCTTACTCATTTCAAAGTTCTTAACAAAATTCTTAATTGAATTACATGGGACTTCCACTAATGTACCCAAAACCTACAAAACAAATTTTTTCACTGTCATCTATAATGATAAAAACAATTGAAGCGTTTTAAACCCAATTCTAGTTTAAAGAAGGGCTGCCCAGATGACATCTGATTTCCTATGTTTCACTCTGCAGCAAATCTCACAGCTGAGTTATAAACCCCTAGAAGACAAGTTTACACTGGAAAGAATGACAGCCTATGAAGTACTGCAGTGCTGCAAGTACTGTGTTCATCCCAGACAGTCTAGTATATACAAGATGATAAATTGTGATAGATCAAACTTCATGAGGTCATGAAGTTGAAAATATGAAATTTCAGAAGCTGACTCAATGAATAAGGAAGGATCTAAGATGAGAAATAAGTCTTGCATGCTTAGATGTGCTTTGTGGGATACAAAACAGAAACCAAATTTCCAGCCCATAATGGTATCGAGAAATAAGTCTTGCAAGCTTAGATGTGCTTTGTGGGATACAAAAGAGAAACCAAATTTCCAGCCCATAATGGTATCTGTGAAATTTCTAATTTTAAACAAACAAACAAACAAAATCAGTAATTCATATCAGTAACAATTGCAGTAATGTAATTTTTTGGTTATTTGCTGATGAAGAAATGGAAGCAATTCAACTAGAATCAACTATATATAATATATTCTTTTCAGCAATAGAATATGTTTATGACTTGTGAAAATACCTATGCCTTATTTAACCATGTTTTTGTATTGCTATGGTTTGTACTGTATTATCTCACACCTACAGCATATTGTTTTTCTTTTTAATGAACTCCAACTTCTGCTTCATAACAGCAACCCCACAGAGATTAAATAACTCCTCACTTCACTCCTTAACTACTTCCTTTCGTCAAGCGACAGCTGAGGATGTCCATTATTGCTAACGGTGTTTCTTCCTTTTTTTTACTGGCCTTTCTGGGGTTCATCCTGTTGCCATCTGCTATAGCCACCTATTCACAACATTGCGATGATCCCTGTTTACCACCTGGTAAAGACGTTCTGCCTGCAGTGTTCTGAATACGCGTGTGGGCGTGCGGTTTGCTGGGCAGCGGTAACAAAGCATGGGCACGAGCAGAGTGCCAGGACGCGGCAGCATTGCTTCTCTTGCTAACCCCAACTCTGGCTGGCTGGGGCTGCAAAGTTCATTGCCATAGCCTCTTCCTGATTGTCACATTGTGCTTGAAATAGATCTGTCAGCTAAGAGATGATCTGAGTCAGGAGATTCCCAGGAAATGGTGGCAAGCTGAGAGATACGCATTTTACCCTCATAAATGCCCTTTAAAAAAGCCATTGTACAATTATTTAATGGAACTGCCTTTTTAGTCTGAAGTTAGGATCTGTGTTCTTAGTCAGAGAATTGAATCCTTAGAATGAGAAAAAATAAAGCTTCAAATTATTGTAGATAAAATGTCTGGCTGTTTCAGAAAGCACCACCAAATTAGGTTCTGTTCCATCAAATCAGAAACCTTTCAGCTGATATCAAATCAAGCCGTATAAATTACATGTAAAGCCCATCCTAAACCTATGTTCCTGTCCACGTGTATAGCTATATCAAAAGTACCTGAAATTACTCGATACTTTGTGACACTTTGTGAATTTCTTTCTAAATGTTGGCAAATACATTCTTGTTGTAACTACTTTGTTCTCATTTTGGGTAAAATGCCATTGCCAGCCTTCAGGTGAGGTTTTCTCTATGGACTTGACCTCAATAACTAAGGTTGATATTAGAAAGAGACAGAGAAGATTTTTACTACAGACTGTAGTCTTCGTATTTAAAATTTAAATACCTATAAAGTGGAAATTACTGAGTAATGTTGAGTCTGAGTTTTCTTTGGCACTGTTTTTTATACTTATAATTCAATATACTCATAATTGAAAATTGAATTATTATTTTTATACTTATAATTCAATCATACCCACTAGAGTTTGTCCTGAAGCTTAGTGCTGTAAGCACGACAAAAATGTTAGTCTGCGAAAGGCCTAAGGACACCTATGCTGATACACTGGTATATTAATAATGGAAGACTACTTGTGTATTGAGTTTTATATGTTAGATACTACTCTTCAGAAGACCACAGAGTAGAAGCAACCTACTACTAAGAAACCTTAAAAATATATAAACTTTCAAATTAAGATACTAGTCTCTCTGTATTTATAAGAGAATATTTTACTAAAATTAGGATAAGTTTTATTATCACAAACTAGTGTTAGGCTTTTGTGTTTTATCAAACATGACAGAAATTCTCTGTCTTCATCAGCTGTACCTTGTCAGTATCAACGAATTAGATTATATCTCATAGATCAATCTTTACACCAGATAATTACCATAATTAGTAATTTAATTGCATTCAATTCACTGGAGTCAAAATATGTAATTGATGAAAATCCAACAATTATTAAGTAATTCACTGCAATTCATTAAAAAAAAAAAAACACCAAGGTAGAATTGTTGGAGTATATATTTAACTATTTGACAAGCAAAAAAGATTGATAGAGGACTACATTCCTGGCAGAATTATTAAGACTGGAATAATGACTGAAGTGATTCACACAGGTAAATCAATTAGTCACTTTTTGTTGTGTACTTCACAGGAATAAAAGACACGGACCATGAAACATAACCAAATTTTTTTTGTGGTGCTACTACAAATCTACCATGTGATTTATCACTTCCTATTTCCAAAAGCCACTGTTAAAGGACCCATTATCAGTCCTGATGAAAAAAAGGTTTATTCTGTTCGCAAAATATCACAATTTTACTGAAATAGAAGTGACTTTGTCACTTTATGAAAATTATCTTCTGTCCTAAGAACATACCTAATGCTGATTGAAGGACTTTGGAAGTTTGTCATTGGTTGGTTTTAAAGAGTTGTGTTAAGTGTGAGTTATTAATAACCATTAAAGGTATGAACTCTATTTTCAAATCAACCAGAGTGAGTCGATTGATCAAATCAAATTGTGAGCCAAGGAGAGTTAAAAGCTGAAGAAATTAGTTGATCAAAATTCTTGTTCTCACAATTTGAATCAAATTGCTGTTTCTGTACCAGTAATGCTGGAGAGCTGCAGAGAATGGTAGCAGTTTAATTTTGATGTAATGATCATGAAAGCCAGTTTTGAAATAAATAGGGAGCTTTCAGAAGTATGTAATACCTGTAGCACATCTGAAATTATTTCTTAAAGAATTTTAGCTGTATTTGCATACGTTTATTACAGAAAATCCAAAAAAGCTTCAAAATTTTCTTGCAGATGTCTACAACAGGTCACAAACATACTCCAACCAAATTCAGCCGAGTTTTTCTACAACAAGGTTTTGTTGAAAGGTAGTATACAAACTTCTTCAATTTGACTGGGATTCTTTCTCTGTCAGCTTTAATTCTTCCAAATTTTGGCTATTACCAGAAAATTCTGGAATTAAAATTTTGAAATTCTCACTGGAAAAAAAAAAAAAAGGTAGAATTGTTAATTATTCTCGTAGCGGTGAAAGTGCCAGCACAGATAGAGCTGAACTTTTACTGAACTGAAAAACATCTCTTACACTGTACCAAGTAATAAAAGACCATGACAAAACAAAATGTTATAGCAAAGCATTGTTGGTGGTACCAGTGCTGTTTTGGAATGCAAATAATTTATCAACATGACTAGTCATACTGAACTGAAATTAATTACGAATGTAAAGTTGCAAATCTAAGTGCTTAGCTAAGTGTTTAGCCAGAGTGTCCAATGACAAGAAGGATTTAATTATGAAACGGCACCACTAATAGGATCCATGTCACATACCTCAGTCATATGAAAATAAGATGTCATGTCCATGCTAATTTTTCAGGCTTCCTTTCCTTCTTAGTCAATCGAAAGGGGCGGGCATCTTTGGAAATTAATTGATATAACCCTAAAAAAGATGCCAGAGGAAAGCGAGAGACTTGCCTTCTGAAGGTCACAATATGTCTTTCTGCACTGGCGTTTGTGGGAGTCTAGAAACCACCAGGGTTCAACATCTGGCTTTCAGGTACATTTGGCTAGATAGGATAATCTGAACTTCAGCTGTGATTGAGCAAAATTACATACTGTCAACAAAATTCTTCAATATTAACCGCATGTTTCATCCCTGATCTTAACCTGCTGAGTAACCATTCACTTACTTTCCCCACCTTCCCCCTTCAACAGCCATTTAGTATTTTTCTTCTACATTATCTAAGAGGAACAATTGGCTCAGTCTCTGTTTACAAGTTCAGCAAAAGGTAGAACTTCACAGCCTGTGTCTGTCTGAGAATACTCTGTATTCATAAAGGCTCTTTATAGTTTACATTCAAGATCCCACCCCTTCTACTGCAAGCAAAATAGATGATTGATGATATATATCAATTATAGTTTATAGTTACAGATTAATTCACAAATTTTCTATTACATACTATATATCATATGCTAGCAAGAGAAGTATATTGTGAGCTTAGTTTTAAAATAATTTGTGTTCTAAGGTCTGCCAAGAAATGAAAAGTTGGACAGAGGACAGATAATCCAGTCCGAATGTGCTGAATCCAAGACTACTCTAAAAAAATAAATTGTACTATATGCTGGCTGGACATCTGTAAATAAAAAAAAAAAATCTAAATTGCATCAAAATATCGAGCTCAAATTTTGTTATGAAAATCTGCATTCTCAGCTTCACCTGAAGCAAGAGTATGCAAAACCTCTGGAAATGGTTACCTTTCTTTGCATGTGTGTGAGGTAAATGGCATCTTTCTCTGTACTTGTTACCCCCTGAATTGCTTTATTTCCTTTGTTTCTTGTGTGTTTGGTTCTACTAGGGAAACAATCTGCTATTGTCGAAGTTGTGGGGAGAACTAAAAGCATGGATTTGATCAGTAATTATGTTCACTTCAGTATTACGTGGTGTGGTGTTCTTAAGTGTTTTAGGACGCATTGTTACTGTTAGTACTACTTTTTAAAAATGTAGGAATTACAGCAGACGTTAAACAGAAGATTTATGCACAAGGAGACAACTTTCCAGGCCTGTGTCACTTGCTTCAGACCGCAAGTGGATCTCACAGTATCTGTTTGTATACAAAATTTAATTTTGTAAATGCCACCAAAGTGTCCTCTACACAGCCCCAAACCAATTTTTCTAAACTTTTTATGTTAAACAGGATTTGCAACTTGGGCCTGTTAGTGTAGGCGTGACTGGAGAATTTCACCTCTGGACACTTACAATTTCTAATCGCTTTTCATAGTTTGCTATGAAGATTTTATGAATTAAAGACCAGGATATGATGTTGAGGGCTCTGATTCATCAGCAAAGATGGCTTGCCTTGGGGTGGTTGGAATAATTTCCTCTGCTCTTGATCTTGCTTTTCCCTCTGAGCTTTTCCCTTGCCTGCCCGGGGGGACAGCTCTGCTACCTGTGATGTAGTTCTTGAACTGCTAGCTGATAGATCAGTATATTAAAATAAATTGACATCAATTCTTGTTTAGTTTACAGCTGTAGTCCCTGCGGCTGTAAAAGCCTGTGGCTGTAAAAGCAACTGAGCTATCCCTAAGCAACCAGTGGGTAAAGGGTAGGTGGATAGCCAGAGTGGAAATCAAGGCAGTCATCCAAAGTTAAACCATCCCCGCTTGTGAGTCAAAACCTCAGTTATGCTAAGACTCCTCTGGCCATGCCCATTCTATTAGTCCACTTGAACTCCTTAGCACCTCTAAAATAGAATAAAGTGCGAATGACATCAGAGGTCGGGTTGCAGATTTACTTTTCAGTAGCCTCACTATAGGTATTCACTCTCCTGGTAAATACTTGAGAAAAGCATTTGTGGCAAATCACTTGAAAAAATTAGATCTCTACATCTTGATGTATGAGATCAATGCAAATAAATAAATGCCTTATGATAAAGAAAGTAAATATCTCCTCTTATACTACTCAATCTTTCTGAATACAATAGTGCACACAATCATGCACTAAATGAAGAGATCATGTATATATCTTTGCAGTTATGTCATTTCATCATGGCACACAATTAATTTATTGGATGTCCCTGATTGTTCAGTAGCATATATCTGTATAAATCAAAAAACATTAACCAAAATATTTCTTTGGTCTACATTATTAATAAGTAGATGCAAAATAATAGAAAATCAGTCTGTTCTTTTCTGTTTCAGAACAATTAATTAGAAATAAAAGGAATTGTTTCGTGATACATTTATATTTCAAATAAAGTTACTTGTATATTTCATTACAGCACTTTTAGAAAATAACTGTTCGTACTGCTGCCATCAAAGAAATTGCTTCAAGCCTGCACTTTGCCTGTCTTTGTAACCTGCAAGTCCATGTGAGACTACTTCTGATTACTGCTAAGATTTGCCTTGTGCGTCAGAACACTGCAACCAGAAGTAGTTCTGAAGAGACTTGTGTTTAACTTCCTACCAAAATATTTGCATACAGGAAGATATTGGTAAACAGAGATATAGTTCCCGTCTTGATACTGTTAAATTTAATGTATGTATTTCTGTTGAAACTCTTAGGAACAAGACTAGGCCAATGACTCAAATAATATTTGTGATCTACCTTCAGTTGTCTACATTTGTGGGAAATCTTCACACAGAGAGGGCAGTCATTCCGTCTGCCATTTCAAGTACAGTGGACAGTAACATAGACTGAATGAGAGTTATCCCTCTTCCTAAGCAGTGTTTGGTACAGATTTCAAGAAAATAAAAGTTTGCTGGACAGAAAGGTCAGAAGAAATACTCAATCAGAGGCTGGAAAGGTCCTCTGAAATACTATGTCAGCATAAACAGGGTAGGGAGAAATCTGGTGAAATCACAACTGGAAAAGCCTTTAAGGGAATACTTGTGTTACCCACTGATGGCTGCTCTCCCTGGGTGTGGATACAGTGGGGAGCAGGGGCATCACTTCCATTAGAGGTCCCAGGAAGGTGGAGCATATTAAACTGCACAGCTTCCTTGTTTGCCAGCCTACTTGCCTCCAGGAGCAGTAAGACCAGAACTAGTTCAGTATGCAGATGTGCACAAGTGTGTGTGAAAGAAACTCTAAAGAGAAGAACCAGATACACAGCAGTAGGTGTTTGAAGGTAGCTGTCTCTGTGTCACAATTTGGATTAGCATTCCCCTTCATTCTGGACTCAGGTTTATTTTGGCCCAAGTATATATAGCTTTCTTCTTCTTCCCATCCTTTAGATGTACTCCATGGCAATGATACGACCTGTCTGTGTGGCTAAGCCAGGGCTCAGCAATTTCCTCAGCCAGGACTTATATGAAGGAGGGGGCTCAAGGGGAGATGTGACATGAGGAATGGGAGACAGAGGGCAGTGAATCCTAAACAAGCATCAAGAGGCAGAGGACCTGAGCCAGAGAAAAAAACTGGTCCGAAAGGAAGAGATTATCTAAAACAATGAATATTAGGTAAAAGCAAACCTATATTTTTACTTTGCTCAACCAAACCTCAGAAGAAGGGCCAGATCATGGAGTGCAGTATCCACTGGAGCAAATTATCCACTCAGTCCTTAATCACTCCGTGAGCAGCAAGTGCAATAGGATATAGTTTATACTGCTCTAGTACAGGAAGGAGAGCTGTCCTCAAGCTCTTGAATAATAAAAATTAACATTCACAATCTTTGTTTCTCTTAAAGGAGGTAATATAATCATTCCTGTATAAAATGAAGATTAACTTTAATCACTGAATAAGTGTTTTTTTTTTTTCAAACTGCTTTTGTTTTAAACTCTGCACTCAGGAAGATCTGTTAACAAGCTCAGCACAGAACCACTGAGAATCATTCATGAGACATTGGAAGAATCCACTGATTGGCTTTATGGCTTTATTTCTTTACTGTCTGACATCGTATGGAGTGATGATGATGATGGTGATGAAGGTATTTGTAATGTAAAGACTTCTGTAACTGCTTTAACTGCTGTTTTACATGCGTTATGTTGGCTCACTCAGGTTTTAACCTCACAGACAAGAAGGTCAAACAAAACAAAAAGTGAACGTTGTTGCTAATAAAGCATCTACTAGCTATTCCAATCAGTAAATTGGTGTCTTTGTTAGCTTTCATCTCATGTTTAATGTACCATTACAGAAAAGCCATCAGAATTAAATATTACCATTAGTACATCTTGAAGTAAAGAGCACTAATTTATACAAGACTTCAAAGCCACAACCAAAATATGCATCAGGATATTGCTTCAGAGAATGGCAATACCTATTTTTCTTTTAATCAGCAAGAATCTAAAGAACCCCAGTAAATATACAAGAGAGACCAAGAAACTTAGAACTTTTTTATTTGATGTATTGATGACAAGACAACATATTGAAACAAAAAAAAAAAAAAAAAAAAAAAAGGAAAGAAAAAATACCATTTTGGCTGAACTAAGGGGATTTTGGATGACATATTGCAAATAATTCAGTTTACTAGAAATTATGGTTCTGCCATTACAGTAACATTCTTCATCTGACATCATCTGATAAATGAAAGTAAATTGCTAACATTTCAAGTTTGGAAATAACTATCCCTCTGTTATAAAAAAAGTAGTTCCCTAGTATGAGCAGAGCAGTAGTGGATCATTATGTCACATCGTATTGGTCATTTTGACAAGCGGTGAGTGTAGGAGTGACATCTTCATTTCACGGTAGTTTATTTTATATTCTATTTGGCTATACCAGAATATAGTTGAAAAGCAACATGTACTAAAACTAACTTCCACCCATTTGTTCATAAACTTGAGATATTATCTAGTTCCTATCTTTTAAATGTGTGCATGAACTTTTCATATTAGCACCACACATGAATACTAATAGGTAGGCTGCTACATGTTAGTCTGTGAACTGGGCATCCTATTCTGAGATATGATGTACAACTAGCATAGAGACAGTCTCTCATACGGTTGAGAGACAGAAAAGGTGAAATAAGGAGAGCTTGCTAAAATTTAAACAGTGTTCATTTTTGTTATTTTATAGCTTCCAAAGCACCTGCAAGCTTTCAAATACTTGCGTGGATAAGTGTTAATGCAAGTAGGAAAGGTCATAAAATACCTGACATACAAAAATTCAAGATCTGAATGCTCACTATGTGTTTGGAAACCTCACTCCTACCAGTCTTTGGCCCAAGTGGGATTTCATCAATATCTACCAGGAGTGTGAAAAGGCAGTAGGCAACTTACGGCACTGTATCACAAAAAGTAAGTTCACGTGAACTCCCTGCCCACCGTGTGCTGCAGTCAGTGCAGCCGAGCCTACACACTCACCGCAATCGTTTGGACTAAATCCTTTAAATTCCATGTTCTACACGGAGGTAGAATAACACACTGCAGCAATCATGTGCTCATAGTGCCACTGAAACGGAGTATTTTTTCCCTTGGATTTCACTGGAAGCATTGCTGTATTTACGACCTTGCTAACCTGCATATACATTTTATCATTTGGAGCTAAAACAGAACTGCTGGGCCTTTTCTTAAAACATGGAAAAGTGTATAAAATCAAACAAATTGTACTGTAGTCACAAGTTAACATTCAAAAGCACAAACACAGATTTGAGTGTTTCCTTGGTTACTACTTCATGTTGAATTTATCTACCCTAAACCCAGGAAAACTTCTGTGGTAAGAGAGATATGTTATGAAAAATCCAAAATCTCAGAATAGACTGCTAACCATTTAGCATATAAAGAATAGATTCATTTTTTTTAATTAAAATGAGCCAACACGAGAAAAAATATTAATTTTTTTTTATGATGACAATTCTTCTCTGATGTTTATTCTTTTCTCTTGGTTTAGGTGACGTGGAACCTCCCCTCAAAAAAGGTTGGTCAGTTGCCTTACTATAGAGGGCAAATATTTTGCAATTGTTTTAAGAATTAACTAATATATCTGTGATATAGATTCTGTCATAAGTTAGATGTCAGTCTACTAACCTTGTAAATTGTGCTTTAACAAACTCATTAAATAAGAAACTCGAATGATAATACTTACTGTACTAATTGCTGTTCTGTGAGAAGCCTTGACTGTTTCATTATTAGCCAGAAAATCTGAAAAATGTTCATAAAAAACCAATAGAATTACAGAAATATTATCTGTACCTTTTCCCTGCCTGTAGGACTCCTATTAATGCCGATACGAGTTATGTGTATGTCTGGATAGAAATAATATTCAGAAATAATAATATAGAAAGAATATTTAGTGAGAAATAATGGTGAGGTGTTGTAAATGCATTTTATCTTGTGCCAACACAGAACTCTAAAATAAGGACTACTTCTGAACCTTCTGAAAAAATTACTTGGCTATCGTTGAATTTTTAAAGCAGACAAGCAAGTAGGATTTATAATATCAATCTTTTCAGACATTAAAAATGTTATTCTGAAACATAGAATTTAAGTTCAACTTCTATTAAATCAAAATGAAAATGTATTAGAAGGCTTGAGATATTGGTGATAGGATGTAAAGATTTTCAAAACTATCTTGTGGTTTTTTCTCCAAATTGAGCAAAGCTTGATAATAACAAGATGTGTAACCAGCCCTATGTGATGTGAATTTGGTATCCATCAAATTCTCAATAGCTAAATGCCTGTATTGAAGAATCTATCACTCCAGTTGGTGCTGAGATTACAGTCCAGTTTTCTCTGAAGTTAGTTGGAAATGGATCAGGCTTCTTTTTAATGACCCATTTTGCCAGTCTCGTTAGGGCATCCAAGGAATTAATAAGCTTGAAGCCCAGGACCATTCATCTTTCTATGGGTGAACCTTCATGTTAGGACTGAAGAGAACTTATAGATAGTGTAGGAAGATGTTCCATCTCTTTATCAGTAAGAATTGCAAAATGTTCGGCATCGCCCTGTCTCTTCTCCCAAAGAGAGAAATGCATTGTTAATTTTACAGTGGGTGTAAGGAGTCTGAAGCTGTAGCGCATTGTTGGCAGGGATGCTGCGCACATGGGTGGAAGGTGTCTACTCACCATGGGCCAATGCTGCTGACCAGGCTGGGAGTACTGTGGAGATACTTCACTGCTGGAAAGGATTAATCCATAAAAACATTACGGACAACAGCATGCTCAGCACTGCAGTGCCAGCTTCTTTGGAAATCAGTGACATGCTCATGTCTTACACTGCACTGGCACACTAGGCTGTAGAAATAGAATTCAGAGAAGCCATCAGAATAATCTAGAAGCTGCTTAAATCAGTCAGTTGGAAGTGATGAGATGATTGTTGGGACCTAAAAGTCCTCCATCCAAGGAGCTAAGTATCTAACTGCCAGCTTGAAATGTTTTCCTCAGTATTCAAAGTTCACAACCCTGCCCTGGAGATAAATGCCTGAGAAAGTCTTCTATCTTTGGTGTGAATGAAATGGACAAGGAGGTGGTGATTCCTCTGGAGCTGGTATCTTACAGGATAACTCAGCCACACAGATGTCAAAAGGCCCAAATTCAGACATGCTTCATCTGCCTGGGCAGTAAAACAGATTCCGAGTGGGCTTTTCCATTTCCTGGATGTGTGCTCAAGATCTTTCCCTCCATCTTTCAGAAGATGAGTCCCAGCCTTGTCTCCCTGCAAAAAGCTATTTCTTGACTAGGACTGATGCAGAGAGTGATCTAAGGCCCTTTCTGGGTACAGCTGTAAGCTTTCACACAGCAACGTCCTCAATTAACTTGTTATCATCTCCAGATGACTGGAGGTCTCCATTTCATCCTGTCAGCTAGGATCTGGCCTTAATTATACTTCATTTTATCACCTCTTTTTCTGGGCTACAGAAATATGACATATGTGGCCTGAAGCCACCAGTCCCTTAGAAATGCCAGCGCAGAGTATTGCACATGTCTGCTCAGTGACAGACCTCTGAGCTTCGGTCACAGGAGCTCTCATACTGTCTCTCTTTGCCGACTTCTCTTAGAATTGTGTAAACATCAATGAGCTGAATTGCCGGGGTCTAAACCTACCTAGAACTTTTCCGAGAGCTCTGTGATAAAGTCTAGTCAGCAGCTTTTCTGCTTAGGCACAGTGAAATTCTCTCCCAGGGCTAAAGCTTAGGAGGGCGGAGGGCAAAGCCCCGGGAAGGGAGCCGAGGGCTCAGATGGGCTCGTGCGGGTGGCAAACATCACAAACATCACACTCTGTTCCTCTGAGCACAAGGTGCAGATCTCTTTCAGTAGGTTTTCCTAACTAACGTGTGCTGTCATGTCTATGGTCCAGAAATCAGATTTCCAGAAGAAAAGCTTTCTAAAACAAAACAAGACCTTGCATCTGTGATTTTTCCATATGACTGCTGTTAGCGCTGGACCCAAAGGAGGACCAGCTATACAAATTGGTTTGGAGACTTTTTGGGTATCAAAGTGTTAGTAGTTAGATCCACAAAATCAGAAGCAAATTTTTAGGTTATGGAGTATGCTCTTTTTTCATATAAAGGACCATTTCTGCATCAAAGTCCCTTCCACTCTGCACAGCATTGTCATCTATAGTTTTGTGAACGATCTTTCTTTAGGTGGCTCTTACGCTTGTGGCATTTGAACATCCGAAACAAAAAAATGACCTAGTGAGACTGTGCAGTCTGCTGTCTCCAGAAGATGAACAGTTCGACTTTTTGCACATATTTACAAGAAACTTCTCTCAAATTTCACTCGTGAAATGTACATTACGGTTGCTGTGCCCGATTTTTAAGTATTGGATCTAACCCACAGTTATTGTGATATTTGTGAATAGGCTGAGAGTTTTCAAAAAGTCTCCGTACCTATTTTTGGTGTATGGACAAGGTGTCACTCTTTTGCTTTGTTGACTAGCAGATTTTATGAATTCTGAAATGTTAGCACAAAATTTACTTTATAATGGAATATGGTAACTGAAAAAATTAGACACTTGCTGGTATTACAATACAATTACATATTGGAAAAAAATCAAGGGGAGTGGTAAGGACACTGTGCAGTGACAAAGGAAGAAGAGGAAAGTGTAATGATAATTACAAACCCAAAGAAAGCAAAGATCATCTTCCTGGAGATGTAAATTGAAAGCAAAGATAATAAAAGCACAAGTAATGATAATGGACTTGCACATGCAACAGGACTAATATCAGTTTCAGAATCCTTTAGAAAGTATGAAAATGTCTCTCAAGTGTCTTTTTTATTGCAATTATTTTTGCCAGTCCAAGTCTTATCACTAATATTTATCTTTAATAATTGGAAAAGAATGAGATATTGTCTGGAAAAAAAGTGTTCTTCGGTGGAGGTAAAGATTATTCTGTAGAGAACTTTGCAGTCTTTAACAACGCATACTCTCAACCTGCTAAAACCGTAGAGCATTTTCACAAAAGATATTGAGAAGCCTAGTAACTGTTTCTTGCAGGCTTAATATGTTTTTGGTTTCATTTCCTTCTAGAACAATGGTTATGACTGATAATCTTGTTCATTTTTTCAGGGTTAGTTTAACCTTTAGAGACAAATTCAGTTATTTGACAGCTGTATGTTTTCTCGTATTTTGGTCCTTTTTACTAGAAATTATTGTTATAGAAAAGGAGAGAAATATTTGTTATTTTTTGGTGGACACTACTGGCATCAGTTGTGAGTTTGGAAAAGAGCTGAGAAACCTGGTGCACAAAATTGGAAATGATCTGTAAAATACAAGCAAGTGCAGACACTTCAGCATTGTCAATCATGGCTAAAAATGTCATTATTAAACTGTTCTGGAACTTCACTCCAGTTTACATATGGGTAACTGAAAATCTAAAATGTGAACATGAGTTCCTCATTTAACTATCCAGAGTACACCCAACACGCAGTGCACACGCAGCAGTAGTTTTTGTATGTTAAACTAGCATCTTCTGCTTCAAAACAGCCGATGCATTCTGAGTGGGAAACATGAACCTGGTATGCAGTCTTAGGAGTAAGTTGTTACAAAACTTTGAAAAAGATTCTAAGGTCAGAATTATTTGGTTTTTTACTTTATACTTGAAGCTTAGGAAATTATTTTTGTAAGATATGCTTCCCTGATTTTACATTTGGGCTTAGATTAAATCCTCTCTCTGTCTTTCTCTTCTCTTGCACTCTCTTTCACACATGTGCCCACACCGACTCACCAGTCACTATGAAGTAATCTTCATTTCAATAAATACAATGAATTTAAAAAGCAGAGTAAGAAATAAAGCACCATCATGACACTGTTACCCATCTTTGTATTACCAAATAGGTTCTTATTGGCATGAGATTATTCTATACTGACAAACAAAAGAAACCTGATTTCCTTGAGGTAGAGATGGGTCTCTCAATTTCTGTGAGTTAGCCTATGTATGAGATAGAAAGATGTATACAATAGTTGTATGAAATGATCCTATTCTCCTTATTTGGCCATAAAACTCATCTATTTTTTGTTACAAAAATGTAGTTTAAAAGATCGTAGTTTAAAACAAGAGGTCACAAACAACAGAACTTTCTGTTAAAGGTTGCAAGAAATTTTGTTAATTACAAATAAACTTCTCAGCAAAACACCTTATTCTTCTGTCTTCAGTTCAAATGAGAATATTGTTGCTTAAGTATTAGGCTGGTTATTAATATGCTGAAGACATACACATCGTGCTCTTAAAAGACATGGCAACTTCTAAGGGCCCAGTGGGTTACAGTGATTTACCCTCAGTAGCTCTGGCCAAGGTGCAGCTCCCCCAGACCCGACTCCAGACACTCACTCCCATTAACCCCCTCTCCACCCCAAGCTTAAGACAGTCAGAATTTATTCAGCACAAACTATTTGTTTGCTCAGATCTGGATATTAATCTGGGCTAACAACAACCACCAAAATGCTCACAAAAGGAAAGGTTCTCAGACCAGATCA